AAAAGCACTAGTTGGAGAATTAGAGCAACGAAAATCAAAACGTTCACGTATGGGTTAGAAAATAAATAAAATATTAATAAAATTTCGCCACATCGGGCTTATGTTTTAGCTTATAAATAAACAAAGTTATGCGCAATGTATTTTCTGCTTTCAATAATAAATATGGCATTTACTAACCCACAGATTTATTTGTTCTTGTAAATTAATCATCATTTGGGGGTGTTGTGGGAATAATCGAAATAATGATACCGAAAAATTCTGAAACAGGAAAAATTTCGTAAATGCACCATCTATATCTCAAGTCACTCCAGTTAATGCAGATGCTGACTATGAGGATGACCCTTGTGAGAAGGAGATCGAAGAGGCTCTTGGGGAGAAATTCCGGAGGATACATTGCCAAGTTCTCATAATTCTGATGATGATGCCTCCGATTCCGATGATAGACTCGAATCACCCGATCCATATTCTCGGGATCTCAGCATCAGCAATAGTCGGTAGTAATCGGAAGATTACGTAAATAATACATAGATCTATCACCCGAAATGCGCAGTGCGATATCTTGCCGTATATATATATATTTTTTTTTAACAAAAAACGAACGTTAAATCTTTTTTTTTTTCCCCCGAAACAAATATGCAAATAGGACCAGCATACTCACAACATATTGCAGTGTGAAGAAGTGCCAGACTTTTCTAATATAAGTTCGAGTGGTGTTGGTTTGAAATAAGACCGGTTGTGAAGCTTACAGATACTAATTCTATTCAACTTTCTAGGTGACTTACAAACTCGAAGACGTGGAATTTTAACAATGTATGAAATAGAGCGTGGGCCCCTTTGATCTATGATCTATGGGTGAAAGAGTTCATATATCAAGATAGATCTCTCGTTATTATTCGGAAAAAATTAATTCTTATATTTTTTCGAATTTCAATGAGAAAAAAAGGGGGGATTTCGATTGCAGAATGTGATGCAACTAACCATATAAAACTCGAAAAGGAAAGATTCCACGGTATTCGATGATGAGTTTAACTCTATGGAATCATTAGTACAGGTATGTACGATTTTTACCATTTTCGATCATGGTTTTTGATATATATGCTTTATCCGGGCGTTACTATCTTGCCTTTCTCTACTCTAGCCTCGGACTGGAACTTCATCATATACACACTGGAAAGAATCTATTGCTCGAAATCTGACTATCACAGCGTCTTCACCAAGGATTACTATGCAAAACTTCGTTAAGTGATGAAGGAGGTTATTGGGATCGTAGATTTGTGAAAGATAGGGTCGAATTTGATGACTCTCCAGATAGTAAGAAGGCAAGGATAAAAAAACTATATTAAAGAATGATTGGGTAGTTCGGCACCATTAGCAGTTGTTTCGCAAATAAAAAATTTTTAACACTGCATACGATCACATAACCAGTCATGATTTATCTCTAAATGCTATTATTTTTGATGCTCCGCATACTAATGCAGGGCAATTTCAGAATTAGGATCAGCAAATTAATAAACATTAGGATTGCTATATTTGTTCATGTTTTGCAATGATCGTAGCGATGAACTGCGGAAGGATATTAATGATAAAAAATGCTGGGTAAATCGAGGCGTCCGGCAAAAGAATAAATAAAAAAGTTCTATACACCCTTTCAAATGCACTATTCAAACAGAATCAAACAATCAAACCAAATAACTTTCGCACATTTACAATCGAAACATAAAATTCTGCGCATACTCTCAAAACTCTAACAATCTCACTCGAACCAATTACTCAATCTATCTCCGCAAAATGCTTTCAAACTCTGATATGTTTTTGATCGTACTCTTCAGCATCGTAATTATAATCTATGAGATGTTAACCCGAGGTGTCCTAACAATAGAGATGCTCCAAGGCATTTTTTCAGGGAATGCCATAATATATATAATCTTTGCGGGGTGATTATATTTTTACGCAAATATCTATCTCCAGCTCCGGCAACAAGTCGCCCAACTCGAAAAATAAATATTGGCGTTAAATAATGAAATACAAAAAATGAAAGGAGAGGTGGAATGGGAACGTGTATCGCAAGGTAAGAAATATTCTGATCCCCTGATTATCTTTTTGTATATATTCTCAAAGGTAAAGAGGTACTAACTTTTTATTATCTATCATTAGGTTCGTCTCAATTCTCTTCCGGTCGTGTATCTACCAGTCAATATTCGGAATATCCCGATGAAGTCCAAACTTTATGGGTGGAATTCACAGCCCTATTTAATTGAAGAAGAAGAAGGGAGGGACGCTCCCACACACAAGCATACAATGTGTTTACTTTAGTAAACCATTTAAGCTCAGCGACTTTGGCGAGTTTCTACCGCCATCAAAAACTCCGAGAACTACTTCCTTGGATAAAATTGAAGAATGGGTTGAAAGAGAAGAGAGGAGAGATTCTAGTAGTAGTAGTAGTAGCAGTAGCGATAGTGGTAGTGGAGGTGGCAATTAGTCGAGCCAAAGAATAGAAGCAGTCATTGTCTTTCGAGACAGACTTTGGGTCCGACTGCAAGTGTTCTAATATATCAGACTAATTACCTATGGCAACTATCTGTTATTTAGAATGCGTTTTCCCATGTAACTCCGCGAAATTTTATTTTTATTTTTATATCAAAAATACGAAAAAATATCTTTATTGTAAAAATTTTACATAATATTTAAATAAAAAAATTTATTAGTGCAATAAGAGAATCTGTTTTACTTACATAGAAGGATCTTTGGCAAAATAATCACTAACCTTATTCTCCGATTTCATATCCCTGTATGTTTTTACCACATAATTGATTGCGCGTAGAGAAAAAGAAGCATTTCTGAATTTTTCATCTAAGTGATATTTTTGGATTTGAGATTCTAATGCGGTAACTGGTGCATCCTTTTCAATACTAATACCAATTATCTGACATTGATCATATCCGAAAAATGTGCTAGTAGGAATAACAAGGAAAGCAACACGAATTAATTTGCTCATTTTCTTTTCTCTGATCCTTTGAAGCATTAAAGATAAAGAAATATTTTTTCAGAAAATCACTTAATAGATTTTAGGAAAAATATGTGACTACTGAAAAAATATTATTTAGGTGATCGTTTCATATTTAAACTATTTCTCGATGGTAATGAACACCTAACCTTAAAATGTATTACCACATCTATAACTAGAAAGCTACAAACAAACACCCTTCTACCATTCTGATCATCATGAGTATAAGCAAAATATCATACTGGTGGACCTTATTTGGGACTTTAATTTTTGAGAAACTTGTCTCAGCCTTATATGATAATAGTTATATATAGATTTGGTAGCTATATTAATATTTTACCCATTTCATAATATCCTGTAATCAAAAGAATATCCTTCCTTCTGATACGCTTTATGTATTTTTTTGCATTAGGATAAAATCAGGTATATTATAATATAGAAGCCTACAGACCAGTGTGTAAAATTCATGTGCACAATGTGCACATGTGCACATTAAATTTTTATGTGCATATATTACACAACATAAAATGTGCATAAATAATTACTAAAATAGATAAATTATATATAAAAATGGATAAATTATTTATAAAAATGGAAATACTTGCATTAATTTTCTATTTTTAGTACAACTTGTGCACATGACTTTTGGTTTAAATTTTATATACTGCTACAGACTATATGGAGCTCATCATACAGATCTATCATAATTTGAGGTTGACTCATTCTTAAGATTGAAATATTATAATACTATAAATCAGGGTTGAATAATAGAATGTTTGATTTAGCATATTCACAGCTTTTAGATACAAATCAGAAGCTTCGTAGTGAACTTCGAGATGAAATTTCTATTAATAAGAGTAATAAGAAAAAAATTTCATCTCTTGTAAAGGAGCTTGAGCAATATTATAGAACTATTTCATTATAGGATAATACTATCATAGTCTATGAGAAAGTGATAGAGAAATTTAAACAGAAATATCTGATTTGCAAAAACAGTTTGGAGTTTTACAACAGGATAAAAAATTTAAAAATGAGGTTAGATCTATTCAAGATAGCCAAATCATAGAATTTGAAAATAAGGTTGAAAATCTTAAAGTAAGAATTCAGATTCTCATAGATAAAAAAATCTTAATAAATGCTTTAGATATAGCAATAACTAATCTTATTGCAAATGTTAATAAAGGGTTAGATCAAATTAAAATCATATTAAAAGGGTTGATACGCCTATGCAAAATCTCGCTAATATTATAGATGAAATCAGAGACTCATTAAATATTATTTAGATTACTTTGCAAAATATCACAACTGAGAAAGATCAATATTAGAACCTATTAAATGATTCAATTTAGCAGGTAGATGATCTTAGAAATCAGTTAAATAATAGCAAAAATCAGAATTTATAATTATAATATTTATTAGATAAATCTTACGTTCAGGTTGAAAGAACTATGAGAGAAAGGAATGTAGCTATAAGGGGGAAAGATAATGCTTAAGAAGAGTAAGATATAACTATTTTGGCTTAAGTATATGAAATTTATCAAATGTTAACTTTGACTCTTAGGCAAGTTCCTAACTATATAGGTATAGAAACGCTAAATGAATATATATAAAAAATTATAAATATTTTTGAATCTGCTAGTTTTATAATCATGAACACCAATAATGCTAATGCAAACACTTTTGTTGATACTCAGAAATGTGATATTTTAAAATCTAAAATGATGGATAAATTTTCTTTAGTACTAGCAAATGATTCCTATACAGGTGGTAATCCTGCTATTAATTTACCCATCATATTTACAGTTTGGCTTCATCATAAATGTCAAGAAGTGATGACTAGAAATACAGAATTAGCTTTACAATCACTGATACAAGAAAGGTTTAACCCAGCTGATTTTTCTAATATTTACGAATCTAGAATCTGAAAATATATAGTAGGTTTTGCAAATGATCAGATATTACTAGTATTATATACTCATTTACCTTCAGATCTTTGTAATATTGTGAAAATTTATATGATCATAAGAGGTGTTGGTAACCAAATTGTGAATAATTTCTTTGCTAATCTTAGGAAGTGTTAGGTAAAATGTCAAGTTAGACCAAATATGTTTTCTCAAAACTAAATCCAACTCTAAGTCAGTTATCAGGAAGCTATTTTAGTTGATTTTAAAAAGTTAAATTCTAAAATAACTTCTTTAGAGATACAGTTAGTAAAATCAATACAGATACATTCTAAACTTACCTAACATTTACAGTTATTAGAAAATGTAGTTAATTCAAATAATGCTTCAATCTTTGATAGTTATATTAATCAAGAATTGGAAAAAAGATTAGAAGTAATTAAAATTAATTTAGCCAAACTTACCAAACTCATAAGAGAAGATATCATAGATACCAAATCAACTCAGTATTCAGAATTCTCAGACTATAATAAAGGAGGAATAAAAAAAGATTAGAACGAATTGAAGCTCACCTAGCCAAATTTGTTAGAAAAAATACTGGAGATGCTAAAACACCTCAGCGTTAACGCTTGAATTTCTCACCTTTTAGAGGATTAGAAAAAAAGTTAGAATAGATCGAAGTCCTATTAGCTAAACTTACCAGAGATCCTAAATCTAGAAGTAGTCAAGTTCATATAGCTACAGCAGATGATTGGTCTAATCCCATTTTTTCTAATAATAACACATCTAAACTTGAAGACAATGATTATAACTCTGATAATTCGTCAGCCTGTTAAGACTTCATAAATTGTGATATGAATATTTACATAAGTTATAGAAATGGAAAAAAAGTGAATTATGATGAGCAAAGTAGATATTCTGATAAATCCTCAAAGTTTAAGGTCTCTAGTAAATCTGAGCTTCATAAGGTAAAGCAAGATAATAATTTATCTTCCACCTGTAATGCCTCATCAGATAAAGATAATTATGGTAAGTGTGTGTCTTTAGAAGAAATTATTCACAAAATCATTCAGATCGAATTTGAGAATTATCTTTCGTATATAATTCAGTAAGCTAAAAAGTATGTATTTACCTTAGCTCAAAATTTAAATGAAAAGGATATTTTGGATAGATCCATGGAGATAGATTTTGTTAAAAAGAAGAAACTCACTATAAGCATTGCATTTATAAAATGTAAGATTAAGCATCTTAAAATTTCAACTATGTTACTGGACTTAAGTATATAAAATATGAAATTGACAAATCTATAAAACATAATCTTAGTGGTATTGATATTATATCAGTTGAATTTATTGGAGTCATTCACAATTTATCAATAACCTTAGCTCCTGAATTTACTATATATGAAGATTTTATAGTTGTAAAATACTCTAAGCCAATGCTAATATTTTTGAACCCTTTTCTTAAAAATTATAAATGTACAATTGACTGAGATAAAGATGAATTAAAGATTTCTCATAATGGTAAGAATTTAATTATTCTAGTTACCATACACAAAGTCAAGAATAAGCTTAAGATGAATTGCATGAACATTACTTCTGAATGTGATACTTTCTTGACTTCAGATAAAATTTCACAGGATTTAAGTAAAAATGGTATATTAAAAAAAAGTGAGTTATAGAAGCTTGAAAAAATACTATATAACACTCTTAAGTATAATTCAGAAATCAATAAGTATTATGAAAGATTACAGATATGCTATGATAAACTTCTTAGAGAATAAGCAAGTTATTTTTCTAATATATTCTTTATATACTAGTCGAAATAGTTCAAATTAGCTAAAAATTGGATAGCCAATTTTAGGCTAATTTTGATACTATTTACAATTAGCATAAATAGGTGCTGATTGATGCTGATCGATCCCAATCAGACATGGCCATTTAGAACTTAAATTCAACCATAAATCAGCCTAAAATTGGCATCAATTCAATATTAATTTAGCAACAATTCAGACGTCAATCAATACCAATCAACTCTAATTAGACAAGCAATTCAGCATTACATTTTATTTATTAAATTTATCAAATATTAAAATTTTATTAATAATAAAAACCTAATATAAATTTGTAAAAATATAAAAATATAACAAAAAAAATATCACTAAAACCTACTGATTAATTTTCTATTAAAAATAGAATAATAAAATAATAAAATATGATTCATTTCCTTCTAAAATCCTTTTAAATCATCCTAAATATAGATAAATAAAATAATATATAATAAAAATATGATTCATTCCTTCTGAAATCGCTTAAAAAACGTAAAAATAATAAATATAAAATGTAAAATATAGAAAATCAACCCAAAATCACCTGAAAAACATAAAAATAATAAAATTGACTCATTTTCACCTTAAATCGCCTAAAAAAATGTAAGAAATAATAAAATCAACCCATTCCTACCAAATCGTCTGAAAAAAATAATGTAAAAAATAATAAAATTTACCTGTTCCTACCCAAATCACCCAAAAAAAACATAAAGAAAATAATAAAATAATAATAAAATCGATTTATTCTCACTCCAAATCGTCTAAAAAAGTAAGAAATAATAAAATCAACCCATTCCTACTCAAATCATCTGAAAAAAATAATGTAAAAAATAATAAAATTGACACATTTCTACCCAAATCGCCTAAAAAACGTAAAGAAAATAAGAAAATAATAATAAAATCAACCTGTTTTCACTTCAAATCGCCTGGAAAAACATAAAAACAATAATAAAAAATTAACTTATTTTTCAAATCGCCTGAAAAAACATAAAGATAATAATAAAAAATCGATTCATTTTCTAAATTGTCTGAAAAAAACGTAAAAATAATTAATAAAATTGACTGCTCCTACTTCAAATCACCTGAAAATTCATCATTTTCCATCGTCTATTATGAGATTATCTTCACTTTCTTCAACAGCAGATGAAACTTCTCTTCTGATTTCAGCATATTTCTCGGTTTCAGTTACATATTCTTCTACAGTTGTAACTCCTGCTTTGATCTCAGTATCGTAGACCATATTAAGTTATACTTATATGATCACTTTGGAGTATTGTAGGGATGTGACCGGTTATAATGCTGCACATCATCATTATATTTTCTCTTTCGTTAAATTTGAGATAATGATATTACAGCAATACAAGGATCAAGTACTTTTCTCAGTAAATTTTTTAGCTAAAAAAGAAAATAAGAAAGAATATTAGTGAAATATACTAAATAAATTCAAAATATGCTAAATTAGATAAAGAAAATAATAAATCTCAGCTGATCGCTAAGAATAGCCATATATAGCGATAAAGGATCTTTGATAATTTTTTCATTTGTTTTGCTAATTTTTAGCAAATGGTATAGATAATCACTGAGAATTCAGATTAAAGGTCACCTTTTGTATTTCACAATTCATTAATCATTTTCTTTAAATAAATATTTTGCGGTTTTTACTCTCCAAGCTATTTTCTAATAAATAATAAATGATATTAAATTATTGATTCAAATAGATCTAAATTCAGAATATATTTTATTTGCTTACTTCATGTACTCAATTATTATTATGAATTCGTCACAGCTTTGAAGGGTCCTTTCCACTTTCTTAATTCTTCGAGCTGACTAACGTGACTTATGGAGGGTTTTTAGCAAGTTTAAGTTGATTAACAGAAGGCCAAAAATTTGGAGTCAAGAACTTTCATAATTCTGAAATCAAACTATGATATAATGCAGCATTTTTCTCACTATTGAAAGTATCATCATTTTCAGAATTATTTTATGTCAATTCTAATTCATCATCAATTTTTTTCCTTTGATTTTGATAATGATCTTCTGATTTTTCTTCATTTTACAGGAGGATTGGCAGACTACTTCAATGATCTGAACAGTCGTAACTTTCAAATTGATCAAGTTTTAAATATTAAAAAAGAAAAATTAGTTATTGTAAATATAAGATATTAATATACGAATTTTTACCTCTTCTGTAAATCTTTATTTTCCTTGCTGAATTCCTCATTTATTTTGGTAAGAAATCAGTTTTCTCTCAAGAGATCAAAATTTTATCACTCCAATTTCTTGATTCTCTTGGTAAATTTGGCAAATTTTTCTTTTAACATTCGATTCTCTATATAGGAATAAAGAAAATATATTGTTAATTATAAAATAATGAATAGAAATAAATCAAAAATAATATATCTGATTCTAAATCATTCAAATCATTGAGAATTTTGAATTCAGTTATAGCTAAAGTACTTGTTGTTATTTGTCGACAAAATTTTGATAAGAGCTGAATTTTCCTATATCATTTTTGCATTTCTCCTAAATCTACATCTATAATTTGAAAAGTTATTTAATATTAATATAAAAATAATATTATATTATAATTAACTTATGATCTAAAATAATCAGTTCATCTTCAGACGATATTAAATGAATGAACGTGTTTTTATCTTTTTTCTATTATAGAAAAACAAAAAATTCAATTATCATTTAAAAAATTAGTTGATTGACTGATAAAATTTAACTTATATTCTAGCTCTTCATCGGTCAATTTTTTTTGTTAAGAGTATTTTAATAGTGTTGCTGGCGACTGAGATTCTATTGTAGAAAAGCAAAAAAATAGTTTATTGTTTGAAAAATTGGCTGGTTGATTGATAAAATTCAACTTACGTTTTTTTTGTTCTTGTAATGATTTTTTTGTTTGGCGTTTTGATGGTATTTTGCGAAAAGAGAATTTGTAAAAAGAAGAAATTAAAGAAGAAATTTGATTGTAGAGATAAAATTTGATTTAAAAAAATTAAGTATGAGTTGCAATTATTTTTTTAAGAAATGAAAAATCAAGCTTATTTATATAAATTTTCATATATACAGTATGCTAGAAATAAACTCAAATAGTTATATCAGATAATACATTAAATCAATATAATACTTAAAGTAAATCAAAAACAATTATCAATATAATATAATACTTTAATTATGCATTAAAAAGACTTAAAGTAAATCAAAAACAATTTATCAATATATTAAATCAAAACGCACTTAAAGTAAATTGAAAATAATTTATCGATATATTAAATCAAAACGCACTTAAAGTAAATCAGAAATAATACTTTCATTATGCATTAAATCAATACAAGATTTAGAAACAATTTATCAATGTATTAGATTAAAACGCATTTAAGTAAATCAGAAATAATACTTTCATTATGCATTAAATCAATACAAGATTCAGAAACAATTTATTGATGCATTAAATCAAAATAATTTAACAAAAATAGTTATAAATATTATAATTATTTTAAAAGGAAATTTGTTTAATTGTTTATACTTACTAAAAAGAAAAATAATAGTTTAGTATAATAATATAAATATTTATGAAACTACTGCATTTTTTAAAAAAAATATAAAATTCAACTAAAATCGTCCTCAAAAATAACTTCATTTCGAATTTTTATTTTTCTCTTAATTTTTTAATTATAAAATAAAATAAGCCAAAAAAGGTCAATTTATAAAATATATAATAATGATGATGATGATTCATCTAGTCAATCTTCTAATACATTTTCTCATAAAAGAAATAGATCGATTCCTAGATTAATTGATAGAAGATATTTCTACTTTTCAATCTTCAAATACACCTTCTTATAGAAGAACAAGTAGGTCAATTGGTGATTTAACTAATAAAGAAAATATATTTACTTCTAGGCCATCAACCTCTCATAATACTAGAGTTAGATATCAAGATTTACAAAATTCTATTTTAGATATATTTCATCAATTCAGAATACAAGATGAAATAGGAGAATCATCAACATTGACTTTGATTGAACAAATTATAGAAATTATTAAACATGAATATGATGATAGACATCAAGAAGATTTTGATTCTACTTTTTTATCTCAGAGATGTATAAAAAAATATACAAATCATCTAAAATCTGACATAAATCCTTCTGATGATTCTGAAACAGAAGCTGATTAATATTCAGAATCTTTAGAATTTACTACTGAAGAAGATTATATTATAAGTGAATCTAAAGATGATGATATTTCTATAAAGGATGATTTTGAAACTTTTAAAGATTATGCATCACCAGATTACAAGCTATTTCAAAATCCACCAAATATAGAATCAATTGATAACTGATTTTGTGGATTTTACTTTAAATTATATCATTTCAAACAAGATTCAACATTATAGAGTCTGCAACTGAGACGTTAATAAAACTTATAAAATTAGTTCTGACAGAAATCAGAGGTGATGAATTTAGAAAATTTTCAAATTCAATATACTTAACAAAAAAAACACTTAGATTAAATAACTGATTTCACCATTTCGTTTCTTGTTTCAAATGTCATAAGCTGTATCAAAAACAGAAAGTGGTGAATTTTCAACAAAATAATATGCTGATTGTAATGAAATGTTAGCATATAGAATTTTTTAATTTATCAATTCACAAAATATAATTTTGAAATACTCCGTTATCTCAAAAAATTATATCAACAAATCGAACTTTAATTCAATCTAATTTAATCTTTCTGTTTTCTAGAATTTGACAATAACTCACTTTTATATATTATCAGCCTAATTTTGAAACTAGCCTGAGACAATAGACAAATCATCAGCATTTTGACAATATTATGACTGATATATATAATAGTAAAGTATAGCAAACGTTAAAAGAATCTTCACAAGAAGATTCAGCAAATTTTTTTCGAAATGAAGTGGCTGATTCTCATCTTAGATCAATGCTAAATCTTGACTAGT